ATATTAATTAAATAGGTTAGATCAAGCTACTTAATTAAAGAAACGAATTGCGCAGATAATGAATGTATACCTTATTTAATATATTGTAGCTGTGTACAGACAAAACATGTATATACTAGATTAATATGTTATTAGTAGAGAGTAAATAAGAATTAATAATATGAAATTTTAATAGCATAGGTAAAGAAAAGATATATTATACACAGGTTTGTATAAAACAAATTATTGGATTTAAATGTATATCAAAAGAAGTCTGGAGGTCGCAGTAGTTTTTATTTTGTTACTTTATTTAGTAATTAGTATATTATTATATAAAAAGTACTATAACTTTCGAATTTTAAACAGCAAAATTAGACTGGATTGTATGATCGATCTTAATTCATTAATTTTGCGGATTTAATGACTAATGAAATAAAATATAAAGATATATAAGTATATAAAATAAACACAGTCTTTTGAGCTGATTACTTTGTTTATTTTTAGTATTTATTATATTTTTTATCGATTGTCTTTTACCCATAAAAATATATTTAAACATTTGATGTCAAATTTAAAGGTGGTTTACCACTATTTTCGTTACTAGAGTTTTAGAAAAATAATTATGTTTTTAAAGTGATTAATAGTAGAAAAAGGCTATAGTTTCTAGTTTTGTATACATTACTATGCCATATGTGTAAACACATCAAATAATCCTCATTAGTGTAAGCTGTTAATGAAACAGAAATGCGATCTATAATTAAGACATTTATCGGTTTTAAAATAAGAAATAGAAAACCGATTTGTTTCTGGTTAATACAATTTTAACGTTTGGTTCATTCGAATTATGTATAGAAGATAAAAGGAAACCTGGTATAACTCTTAGGCTTGAAAAATAGGTTACCTCTGTCAAATGATTAGGATATTTTTAAAATATGGAAAGTATGTAAATTAAACTTAAAAATAAAATAATTAACATACATAAGAAATGTGGCAAATATATTTAATGAGGTTATAATTAAATTTAAGACAATTATACAAAACCGGTATTTTATTATTTCAGAATAAATTATATATATATATATATATATTTATTTAAATATGTCGGAATTTAAAGTAAGTTATGAACTAATAGTTGTATATTCTTACAAGTTACAAATGATTTTTAATCGTGATGATAAATACCTAATTGAGGTCTAATTCTAATAAAGTTATTGTCAGTTATAAACCAGACGTACTGATTGGGAAGAATTGAAAAAGTATTAAAACAAAAAAGAATCATCCACTACGCAATTGTGAAAAAATTAATGTGTAGTTCAAAGCCAATACTTCCCTGCAATGCATTTTATTATCATATTTTGAAATACATAAATCATTTTAAGTACATAAATCATTTTAAATTGTATAATTGTATTACCGCAATGGTCACAGAGCCTGCGACGCGTACAGTCATCGGTTCCGATCATCGGTATAGTGTAAACATTTTTCAGGGTCTCTCGAGACTAAAATTGCCGTCGTCGGATTGCATAAGTGTTCTTAAGTTATCCATACTAAAGACTTACCCCACAAATGGGTCTTCTAAATTAACGAAGATTGGTAGTACACTACTAACAACACACAGTGAAAAGTGTTGCTAGATTCCAGGGGGTTGTCGAAATAAAAACTATCTTTTGAAATCAAGGGCAGCGAAAATGATGTAACAATAAGTAAACAGTAGTCTTCAGCTAATGTTGAAACCACAAGTCTCATAAAGTACCCGGTCAAAGCTAATTTTTTATGTTTTACAAAATTGGCCAATTATTTTACATATTAAAATAAAACAAGCTTAAAACAAATTGTTTTTGACAAAGTTATTTTTTTCCGAAACAAATTCGGTGGATTTTACCTGAACGCTTGATTGAAACAAATTTTATTTTTTTAAATTAAAAAAAATTCCTTTTAAATGTTCTGTATTGCATAATTTTTATTATTTTATTTTTATAAATAATGGTAAGAATATTTTTCTTTCTTATATTTTTAATTTTTTGTTCCTCTTTCCCCTTTAGGTACCCACTTTTCTATAGTATGAAAAAACTGATGCACTTTTTAGGGTTGAAAAATTTTTCCGCAAACATATTGATAAAAATGATAAAGGTGTAGGTATTTTGTTAGATGTAAAAAAAGCTTTTAATCGTGTTAACCGTGGTGATTATTAAAAAAGTTAGAATAGTGGGGTATTCGTGGAGTGTAAAAAAATCTGTGAAAAAAAATCGTTTTTAAGTGATGGAACTCAAAGAGTCAAAATGGATGATAGTTACAGTGAAACACGAGGCAAAACATGTAGAGTACCACGGGGAACAGTATTAGGTTATTTATTATTTATAATTTTGATTAATGATCTCTTAAAAATAAAAACAAACACTAACACGGAATTACTAAACTTTGATGACGATCTGCTATTTTATTATCTAAACAAACAATTGATAATTTATACTACAAGTCTAAAAATATTGTAAATACTGTATGTGTTAAACTTAAAAGTGTTTAAGATCTAAAATATCTGGGCCTAATTATAGGCTTTAACATAAATGGGATTGTCATATTATTAATTGTATTAAAAATAAAATTATACTGTAGTTAGGAACGTATATAAATATTGATTCAGTATTATGTTAGTAAATTCAGTGGCCTAGATTGTTTGTATTATACAAACAAGGTAGTAGGCACATCAGTATTAGTTAAAATAATATGCAAATAATATAGTAGTATAGGTATGATGTTGAAATTTCAACGCACTTTACTAAAACTTGACGGAAATGACAGCTTGCCGTTGATGAGAGTATAAGAAGGGCAGTAAGCGGTAGACTAATTTTACGTTAACGATGAAAACATGATTTTCAAATAACTAACCACTAATTTTCCATCGATTGACTAATAATACATCATTGATTTTTGCCTAAGCTTTCTAATATTTTGTTTTTATTTTTAGTGATTCTAATATATTGTCATTTGAGTATTCTAAATCATATTTATTATTTAATTCAATTTTTGTGGAATCAATTGAGTATTATATTTCAAGAAGACTATTGCGTTATGTTAATATAAACTATACAGTTAGTCATAGATATAGGGAGCGATAAAAATTAAATGGAAATTATTCAATCATTCAACTTGATCCGATGCGATGATGTTTAAAATGGCAGCTTTCCAAGTTTAACCATAGTAGGATTTTAGAACAGCCAAGGAATCAGCTTAATTAAGTAAGATAAACAAACTTAATTAATTCATTAAGTATAAATTACGTTTGCGTTAATTACTAGTAGTACAAATAAAAGTACGCAACAGTTTTCAGAATAAACGAGTTTCATTCATTGATTTGACCTATACATCCGGGATTCATTTAAATAAGATTATTAATACTAACTCCACCGCAATCACACCATTATGATCTTAGCGTTTTGGGTTAAATCATTTAAAATAATATGCTTGTACATATTTTATAAGTATGTAGTAGTTAAATGAGAGAGGGGTTTTTTTGCAAATAATCAAAATGTATATTAGGTATGTCAAATGTCTTGCCTTCATTTAATGTGTGTGTTAATGAATATTAATTTTTGTTCTTTTGGGTTTTGTTTTTATATTATAAAATTGTTTTGATATTCTAATCAACTAAATTAAATGATAATTACAAAGCATAGATTATAGTGGCGCAGTATATTTGGGGGTTCAAAATTCCTATACTAAGCAATCGCTCGCTGGATATTTTTTTAAATTGTTTATCTAAATCATTATATAAAACAATTTTATTTTATTTGAATAATTTATTCGAATACCCGTCGAATAACATGTTAATTAAAATAATTTATTTCAATGACCATCGAGTAATTTTTTTTATTCGTATTAATCATCTTAAATTTAGTCCAATCAAATAGTTGTATGAATGAATCTTCTTAGATATGGCCGAATAAAAAAATGATTCGAATAAATCGATGGCTTCTTGCCCATTTTTTATTAAAATTGTCCAGGAGAGCGAATTCAATTTTTTACTTTTAATAAGATTGTACAACAAGGTTTTCATTATAAATTTAAATATCACAACAAATATAAATTTGCGATCTAAAGAACTTTTATAGAAAAAGGCGCATTTAATTTTCTATTTATTGGTATAAAAAAGTATATTAAACAAAAATTATATTTATAACGATGCAAAAGGAAAATATGATTGCAAACTCTCAAAGGAAAATCTTAATTAGAGTTAAAAATATAACATGCAGGTAGTCTAAAATTACAATATATTTTTAATAGTTATGATTAAATAAAAAAAAACAATGTCACATCCTTGAAAACACATTTTTTTTTCGGTCTTCAATCTCTCGATTGGTTGGCCGCAGCTATCCAAGCTTCTCTGTTAAAACTCAGCTCCTTTGGATCTCGATAACTACCTATTTCCATGTCCTTCATAATCTGTGAAATGTATTCCATTCTTGGTATTCCTCTTCCAGTTTTACCGTCTACATATCCTTCAATAATCAGCTTCAGAAAACACATAATATCTTATAACTAGAAAGTGAAACTAATAATAGCTGTTGTAGTTATCAGCGATCGCATGGCAGTAGTTCATACTATTATTATTATTATTGCAATTGCAGTGTACTTTTGAAGTATTTTATTTCATTCGTATTCACCATACTTACCTACCTAATTAAGCGGATTTAGAAAATACCAAAAAAAGGGATAAAATGTAAAGAAAAGAAAACTACCAATTTTAAACGTATTAAAAAATATAAAACATGAAACTAACGGTGTTCTTTATTGTGATTGTCGATTAAAACGATGTGTAATTTACAAAAGATGCGCTGCAGAATTATTTTCGCTAAGGGATAAATAAAAAACAACAAGGGCGTTGTGAGGCATGTGAAACAAGGATGAAAATGTGATCACTGATCATGACACCGACGTGTATGATTTCCTAAGTCTCTTTGGTGGAGCGCTGGGACCGTCAGGGGTGCATATAAAAAGCTCCACAAAGTGCCGCCGACGTTCTATTCAGCATTTGGCTACCGCTACACACAACGGTCCCTCCCGAACCGTAAGTACATTAGTTCTATGATTTTATTTTACGATTTTAGTTTTTTTATATCGAAAGAAAAAAAATCAAATAATTATCGCAATACATAAAAAAAAAAATGTTTATACACCGAATGATTCTTTTTAACGCCCTACCCCAGTTTCATCTTAGAATAATTTATATTTTGTAGTTTTTGTAATATTAAAAACATATTTCAATTTTTATCTTTTTTAGTATTTTTTAGAGCATTATCAACTTTGGAACTTAAATGGTAACGTGTATACATTAATATATTAACATTTATATATTATATATTATTCACTTATTAAATTAAGAATAATTTGCTGAAAATATTGACTGCCGCTAACTAGTTTCGAATAAATAGTTTTAGAGTTATTAAAGTTTAAAATTTAGGATGAGAGAAACGGTGGATAGTAAAGTTATTATTATATACACGCATTACCTACTTCTAAAATTAAATAACTTTAAAAATGATTATTTAAATGTTGTTATCGACAAGTCAACATTTTCAGTAAATTATTCTAAATTATAAAATTCAATTAGATATATGTTACCATTTAAGTTTCAAAAAATGTTAAAGCTCTAGCAAATACTAAAACAGATAAAAATTTGAATATTGTTTAATATTGTACTACAACATAAATGAAAAGGTTTTCACGAAGAAACACCACAAAATTACAATTATTTTAAGAGTTAATTAGTATAAGACATTAAAAGAATCATCCGGTACCAGTATGTATATTTTAGAACGTATGTATACGTCTAGGGCAAAAGTCTATGATATAAAAATATTATAAATACTGATTATGGTTAAAAGTTTTTATGTGAATAAGTATTTTAATAGAGTACATATCTATGATAAGGTGTTTGTTTAGTTTTTAGAAAAAAAACTCAATATAGTATAACGTATTTTGCTAAAATTTTAGAAATATAAGTTTGCTCTTTTTTATTTAACCTATAAATATGTTACTACTTTATTGTAGAATCAATTGAGGATAGTATTGTGAACAACTGGGGCGAATATAAATTATACATGCGGTTTTTTAATTGAGATAACGACGAATTATTGTTTATTTTAACTAAAAGTTGTAAATAATGAGGTATTATATTACACATTTAAATAAAATACTAAATTTGTCGGTTTTTTTATAGCGAAAAATGTACTTAAATTTACTCTATTCATTAGCAATTACTCTATCTGATCCATATTATGTAATTGTCTTACAAAATATATTTCCACTTAACTTAATTAAATAAAAAATTTGCTGGTTAACATTTAGCTTATTTATAAAAAATCTTACGAAATGATCTATTTAGTTCATAATAGAACATTCGTTTTTTTATCGAGTTTTTAATACATTGAGTTTTTTTTGGTCGCATTACAATAGTTTGCAGTATACAAATTCGGTATTATCTATAAGTTTATAAAACAAAATTATAGTTCAATAGGCTATCTAAGTTAAAATTATACATTTTATTAAAACAATAATTGTAAATGATTTATTTTTGAAAATTTTCGATTTAAGGTAATAATTTTATAATTGCGTTTTGTTAACCATTATTCTCTTAAAACTGTAATTTTTGTTTTCTTCTTAAAATTATATTAATAATGCAATAATGAGTTTAATATTATATTACTGGTTTTCATAGATATTTTCTATAATGGACATTTTAAATATGTTCTATGAGTAACTGCAATATATACTTACTAGAAAATATTACTTTTGTAATTTAACTTGATTTAGTTGAACTAAAGACTTGGTAATTTCACCTTTTGTGAACCCATTTACTAGATTATTTTTTCTATCGATACAAAACCGTGTGCGATATTGATACTTAAGTAAGTAAAAATTTAAAAATAGTCAACATCTTCACCCTAAAACCAAAATAACCGGACATTTTTTTTGCCAGTTTCAACTTATTAAGATTTATTTAAAATATTTATTAGAACTGCCCTATCCACGAATCATCTCAAGCCAAAATTTGTATGACTCCCCTCTTCCCTAGGTGTGGGGGTTGGACATTTTTTCGTTCTTTTAGGTTTTAAGAGCTTGGTTTTTCTATATTATTTCACTTGACACTTAATACCGATTTGTAATTTATATTGTAAATAAAAAAAACTAATTTTTTTGTAAAAAACGCTAGAAAATGTTAAACCACATAAAATTTAATTTCGTTGTATTGAATTAAGCATTTTAGAATAATATTGTATTTCAAACACAATGTGATCTAACCCTAAAAAATTAAAATCGCGGAACCTCACTTTTTTTACATTGGCATTTAAGAAATTATAATTGGCGTTTTCTTGAAAAAATGGATTTGTGGGTTAAACTTTTCTAGTGCTATGCACCTCATTCAATGTCGGCTTTTAAACGGAAAATAATATTTATTAGTGTAATATTATTATATGTATATATAAACTCCACTATCGAATGTTGCTACGATTCGAAGCAAATATAAGAATCGTGCAAAGGGTTTTTTCGGATTGAATCATTTAATTGAATGTTTTCATAAGCATATTTTATAATAATGATATAAATGTATTATTTTACGTTTGAATATTTATTGTTTGAAACTCACACACTGTATGTATTCATAAGTATTTTGTTAACTGAATAACGATAATTAGGGGAAAAATTTAATTAGTATTATTTACCAATTTAAGAGTTTATTATTTGTATTTGTATCATTTATGTGTAGGTAGGTATTATGTAGTTTTTCAAATTCAGCTAGCTGTCGTTATATACAGACATGCAATTTATTTTTATTTTTATTATGTATAACATCTCGAACATCCAATTAAAGGGAATTTTTAAATGCACACCATCAGTTAAAACTTAATTTTAAAGTAGTACATTTGTACAATTTTGTCATGTTAAAAAATAGTCACATAAAATAAACGCTTCAATGTAAGGCTCTTAATCGTAAAACTATCTAATATCAATAATAATGACTACACAGTACACACTTTGTAGGCAATAAAAGTGATAATAATTATGATATTTGGTTTTTTGGGTATTCCTCAATACAAAATGCTTGCATACATGTATATTTTATTTTATTTTACAAGGGTACTTCATAGATATTATGTCATCAGATCAATTTTGGACCTTTAAATCTAAAAATTACACTAATAAAAATTAATAATCCACCCCTTTTAGAGGAAAAGGCTTATGATATTTTCTGGAGGTTACTATACTCGTACATATTTTGTGTTATATATTACAAGCTTTACACCAACGAATTTTGTACAAATTTGTTAGGTAAGGTGTATAATGCGTTTTATTAGTTAAAAATGTGTTATGCTAATTATTTCAATAAAATTGTTCTGAGGGTTGTACTTGATTGACTGTATTTATTGTTGCTTCTTATAAATAAATACAATAATACAATTGTTTTCGGGGTAGTTTTCTCTAGTCTGTGTCTACTTATTTGCTTGGTCAGTTATATTTGTACATCTATTAGTATTTTGGTCAACAAATTGAACAAAGCTAGTTACTTACTTCTTCCGTCCTCGATTTAGGAGTATAACATTCCAAACTAAATATATCGAGGCGATCAGCCGTGCTGTGCGGATTTCCATCCTGTCAGTGAACGCAGATTAACGTCGGCTAAAGTAGGATCGGTGCTCGGCACGTTGAAGTGCGAGGATTTATTTGGTGGATTACTATGGCCATAATTGGCCTATGGTAATAATATCCTAGGACCTAGACCAATGATGTTTTAACCACATTATGTAGTGTATTCGAAAACGATTATAATCAATTTGCTAAGTCCGTAATTGTTATTAATCACACATTATTGTATAATACATTTTTAAAACTAGACGTCATTTGGAATGGTAAATGACGTTTCAATTAGCTCACGATATATGTACACATATTATTCAAATAATATGTTGTATTGCAAAGAAAAAATATCCCTCATAATTCGAATGAAATATAGTTATTTTTTCGAAACTTCGAAAATAAAAATTAAGTAATTCTCTCCAAAGAAAAGCAACAGAAGATATTTCCAACCCATAGTTTAAGATTTTGTGTACAAAATTTAAAACTAGCAATATCATTACAGTAACTTTATTTTACACTGCTTTAATACAAATAAATATAACAAATTCACGAGTGTATGTTCATCCTAATTTGCCTAAAAATATTATTTTAACGATTAATGCTTAAAATATAATGACAATTGAAACTAACGCTGGTGAATCTTTTTTATTAATTAATACTAATAACATTAATATTATTGATGGCCAAAAGAAATTTAGAAATATTATGTGGCATTAACACTATATAAATTGACGGAACCATTAAAGTTGTCTAATAAAAAGTCATAGACTATTATTAGTTAATTTAAACATTCTGTGAATTGTTGTGCAAAATTCCAGTTAATATACCTACTCCCCAAAAACAGTTTACAAAAACGCTAAAAGACTGAACTTTTTAACGTATTTAATTATCCGAATGTACCTGTTTTTAGTTGGGACTTTGAAAAAACCTAATGAATTCAGTTTATCAATTTCGAGAAAAATCAGCGGGAGCCTTCTGTTCACTTAGCGAACGCCAATCTGGCTGTGTAGTCTGTATACAGAATCGTATTGAAGTCACTAAAACTGTTTAGATTGTTCGAAGAAATGTGTGACCGACCGGTCGGGAAACGATTTTAAGAAAATGCATCGCAATTAGCTTTTCCCTGTTTTTAAAAATACATTGGCAAATACCCTTCTAGAGTTAATTGGATTCGCCGCACTGACCGTAGGATGGTTATCGGTTTTGTTTGAAATCTGCACCTTACAAGCAATATTGTAAAATAACAACTTGGCGAACGAATTTCCGTAGCTGTTGGATAAAAGATAATGAAATCAACGAGTTTTCGCTACAAATCCAGTCTCGACGGTGTTCGCAAGCATGTTTGGTATAAACTCTTCTATCAGACTATATTATCAGTCACGTGTCAAACGGATTCAGGCAATTGTCGGTGTAATTAGAATATGAGCTGTA